GGAGAACGTGACGCGTAAATGATGAGCTTGCTCAGTAGACTGGTTCTTGAGAGTGCTGTGCCTGCTGAACGCAGGAAAGTTCACAGCCGTAGAACTTGTACTAATCCAAGAAAGTTGAAAAATATACTACACCACGTTTTCATGAATTCCTTTGCGGGGGAATTCCATCTTGACTCGTCATGTTTCGCTCTTGTCTTTCGAAGTCGAGCAGGGCGTTTGTGGCTGCTGGGCGGTCCGTGGGGACATCTGCTCGAAAACTCTCCTGACTTCCTTCCTCCATTACCCGACACAAATTGTTAATAACTGACATTTGGACGTTAAATGCTTTGTTTCCTTTTCTTGCGTCCTGCTTTACAGTTCTCGGTATTCAGAGTCGCGCTAGACTCGTGCGGGTAACAGCGGGCGAGTCCTCCACCTCAGCCCAGGAGAGTCCCAAGCTGCAACCGAACAAAAACTGCCAACGAGGTGAAAATTATCTTCCAGCATGGAGGTGTGCTAGTCACAGAGACATAAAGCCGAGCATGTATAGCATGGTCTGCCCGATGCACGCGCGCGTATTTCGGTGCACGTGCTGTACGGCAATTAATGACTGAGGAAGTGGTGTACAACTGTCTACAGTGTTAGCGCCTGCGGAAAAGAGTGCGTTTCAACTCATGACTAGCTGGCTTTTCTCGGCGCCAGGCCCTGCCTGTTCTGCCGCTGTGCCCAGGAAGCATGGAAACTGAAGGCGAGGTCGGCCGGCTCTTAGAAACCATTATCCTAAGTCTTTGACACAGTTGCAGCTCATAGCGACCCTCAACTAAGAACGAGGGCCATGGATGCTGCCTGGGGCTGGCAAGCAGGGGAGGCGGTCTGTCATGAGCTCGTTCACATCGAGCTTGTTGCAGCTCGTGCTCCAAGGCAACCGTACACGCAAGCGCAATGCCCGAACCCCATTTCCGTGCATTACCAGCGGAGACAATCGTTGTACACTCAGGTCGCTCGCCCGTGCCAGCCTGTGCGCAACCCGCAATACATATGCCAACGCAGCGCATAAAACAGTGCATCTGCTCCACCTATCTCCCCCCGTGCAGTCAGCTCAACCCCGTATCTGGCCACCCAACCAGGGAAAGGTAGGCAAAGAAGACGGAGGGAGGTAGCCAGAGGGGAGCACTGCCTCGAATAAAAATAACTAGCGAGTGGAAGCGGTGAACGTTATCTGTTGCTATTGTTTATATGTGCTGCTGCTGACAACATTGCGTTGCTGCAAGGAAACGCGTCGCCCTAGGTCAGTACGCCACTCTGCGCCTTGCACCTAGGCTGGGAACGTGTAGTGAGCACGTTCAGCGTCAAACCTAGCATGAGGTCGACTTCCACCCTGGCCCTGAACCCCATTATATGCACGTAATGGAAGTGTTGTCGCCGGCAGTGCCAATCTAACCATAGGTAGACAGAGGGGCCTAACTAACACCCGTAAACTCATTAGCGCCGTAGAGCACCTAGACACCAAGATGTGTGTCCTTTTTATTCTCATTTAAATGCAACTGTCGCCACCCTAGGATAAAACAGTTTTCAGTATGAAACTTAGAAGTTCAATGTATACAGAAAAAGAAGTGGTTTCCGTTTTCGCTGGTGCACTTGAGCGCAGGTCGCATCGGCTTTTCTTGAACACAGACTTCGTGCAGTGTCAGAGCCATTCTCCGAATGAATGCTGTCAGCCTTCTCCGAGAGCTAAGCATCAATGTTTCATCATTCTAACTGTTCTTTCACCCTTTTGTACTTGTTTTCCGTGCTCCATATTTCTTGGTCGATTGGGAGCCGTGTCAGTACCGCGGAGTGCACTCCGCAGTACTGCCAGGGTTCCGGGTTCAGAATTGTCCCCGTAGAGAGTGCTTGCATAGTGCTCTGCGTTCAGTAAGCGCGTACGGGAGCCCGTGCCTCCCGCACTACATCTACTAGTAGGGACTGTTCTTCCCTCATTATATTCATTTTTAATATTCATAGAATGCCGTCCCGTAGTGTAATGCTCCAGAGACTACGCACATCGCCCCTGATGTGAGGGCTGGTATACCACCACCCTCTCCAGCTTGTCATGTTGGGTACCAATGAGGAGGGGAAACGGGAGAGTTCCAG